TAAAGACAAGTATAGAGAGAAACTGATATATTATTCGAATTCAAACTCATGTACATAATGAACTGAAATCTCTTCTATTTATAGAAGAAAGGAAGCTGCTGTGTAAGCTGCTACACAAGCTGTTGTGTAAGCTGCTATTACAAGCTGCTGTGTAAGCTGCTACGCAAGCTGCTACTGCAAGTTGCTGTGTAAGCTGCTACTACAAGCTGCTGTGTAAGCTGCTACTATACCAGATATGGATAATCTTTTACCTAGGGTAATGTTTATCCATAACCGGGTACCGAAGTGATAAGCTTTTTCAGGAAGCTTATTTCCAATAGAGTACTAAATAGATAAACATATTTACGGTGGATAAGTTTCTTCGGAAAGCTTATTTACAACGGAGTACTAAATGAACATCCATAATATAATATATTTATAACAGAATAAACAAAAATTACTATTAGTTTCGAAAATAATTTTTATAAAGAGACCATCTGTGTAAAAATCCAATTTCAGAGGAGCAGCCCACTAAGCCCAAAATCCAAATAAAGCCCCATTATTCCCGTCTTTCCCAAACAAACAACGAGTAATTCTTTTCAAACCCTCACCGCCGCGAGGTTGCCGGCGAATCAATTTCCATGGCAGAAGAGAGACGCGTGGTTACTGTGGGTGGAAAAGGCTCATCACTGTCATCCTCCTCCGTCTTCGAAATTGCCAACGGACTCAGTCGCCTGAGCATTGACACTTCAGCACTCTCCAAAGTATCATCCTCCTCAAATAACAACACTAATGCTCCTACACAATCTTCCGCATTTTCAGTACTCGGTAATTTAACACCCGAGGAGTCTAAAGCTTCTCTTGTAGTTCTCCTTAACAAGCTCTTGCTCTCTTCTTCGTCTTCCGCTGCCGTCACTCAGCTCTTTGATATCATCCTCAATGACGTGTCCTCCATTTCGTTTGATAGTACTATTGACGGCGTTTCTCCAGGCGATTTTTCTGTAGCAGCAATATCTGGAATCTCCGCTATATTGGATCATAGAAGTTCAGCTTTGTCTGTTATTATTGACGCCGTTGCTGCCTTGTCCTGCGAGGCCTTGGGTGCGGACATTTCAGCTTTCAACTTGAATGATTCCGGTGATGGTTCCACTGCCAAGGACGTCGTTTCCGTGGCTACTGACGTCAAGATCTTACTTAATGGTTCTAAATTCGTGAACAAAAATAGTGATGAAGTTGCAGTTTCTAGTGTTCCAGTTGTGCACGGCAAGTTTAGAGAAATTTGCCGGCTCCTGCACTCCAGCACACGTGTGCAACTGAACTCTGCTGTTGTATCCAATTCAGGATCTTCTGGAACAGCTAGTGCAATATGCACCACGTTGTTTTCTTTGGCCGTGGCACTTAAAGATTTGGGCAACATCAGTTATAACCGAGCGAAGCGCACCAGAGATGATGGAATTTCTGCAATGCTGCAAAAAGAATGTCCTCGACCTGATCAGCTGAAAGCTGTTTTTGCGTCTTTGGTTTCAGCTCACTCGGATGAGGAATATGTTAAGTTTTCACATGATGTTAACTCCTTACTGGTAATGGTAGAGAAAATAGTTTCATGGGAGGCCTTAGCTGCTTTCTTTTCGCTCGAAGAAAAAGACTTTATCAGTGGTAATACGAGTGTATGCGAGGACAGTGCAAAAGCAGGTAAAAAAGGAGGCAAGAAGAAGAAGATTCTTGGTAAAGGTACCACTGCTCTGCTGCAATTTTTGAAGGATAGGCTGCTGAGCATGCATATTCAGACTGAGGCATTCGAGAATTTGGTTCGCCATTTCTTGTCTCTGTTGGACCCGAAGGACTCGGGATTTGGCACATTATTGAGAAAGGTGAAAGATATTGTGGAGAGCAATGAGAGCCGGCGGTTGCCTAAACTCCCAAAGGTAAGAACCATACTGTGTTATCTTTTTCCCCGCTCATTGAATTATTCGTAGCTGTGATAATTTGGGAACTGGTTTAATACTTGGCTGTCTCCTTTATTTGTTTTTGTGAAAAAGATATGTCGGCTACACATAAAACAATGCTGGAAACCTGCTAATCTGGTTTTGTTACCAGGTCAAATGATACCAAATCCTTAAGACAATGCTGGAATGGTCCAAGAACTTTAATAAATCCTTGCGTATGCCCCTTTATACCCGATAACACTATATAGCTCAAGAGCTATGGAAACATTCTATTTAAAAGCGCTAGAAAATAAGAAATTTGGCAGCAGTCATTTAGAATATGAATATGTTTCCTTTAATATTTATTACTTCTGAATAAGTTCTGATGTTTATCCTTGTAAAAAGGTCTCAAGTTTATCTAAAACAGAAGTAATCTAACTCTTACGCTTTCACTCAATTTCCTTTTAAACACTTTAATGTTCAATTTACTAAAGGAACAAAAAAGAAACAGTGTGATATTCAATTGTTATGCTTGCTCAATGCCTTCTCTTATGGAATAGTTTCTGTCAATGTTGAGTTTGGTGGAGGTTTTCCAGCAACTGGATGGAAATGCTGAAGGATGTACACTAGGTTTTAGGTGATGCAATGGCAAAATTGGCTGGCCTATAATGAGAGGATTCAGAGGCGGAGTGTGAGTTAGGAAGCCTTAACAGCTATAAATCCCTTTGGACCCAAGAAAGATTGTGCGGGGAAGTTTCTGCATCAGCTTTATGGCTAATAATATTGGTTAGAACTTAGAAAGGCTAAATATTATCAGCTTTATCAGCTTCACGGTATCAGCTTTATGGCCATAAATCTTTATGAAGTTTCTGCATCAGCTTTATCAGCTTCACGGTATCTAAAGTATGGTGCTGTAAACTTATTGTGCAGTATCTATTTTATCAGGAGTCTTTTATGTTGAAGTTGGACTCTTATTTCTGAATTTTGTATGTTTCATCCCCTTGGCAGAAAGAGGAACTAGATCTTTAACTTACCTTCACAATGTTTTCTGTTAGGTAATTTGTTTCCTTATCGAACAGTGTTAGAGGAGGTAGAATTGTTAATTCGGAAATTAAATTACCTTCAGTTTAAGTCCTGATATTCTTATTGCCTCGTCATTGACATATCAACTTAAAAGAGAATATCAATAGTTATAGCTTTGTTTTGTAGGTGCACAAAATGGATATTGTTAACTTTTCATCTAACATCAAATCTGAATGTTCAATTTTTTTGTCACAGGGTACGCGTGATTTTGCAAAAGAACAGATGGCTATAAGAGAGAAAGCATTCTCAATTATAGTTGAGGTTTTCAAAAGGCATGGTGCTTCAGCTTTGGATACTCCCGCTTTTGAAATGAGAGAGACACTGATGGGAAAATACGGGGAAGACTCAAAATTAATCTATGACCTTGCTGATCAGGTGTGCTAGTTGTTTTAACTGCTATTTATTTGCTGATTTGCTGGTGCACCTTGTCACATGTGAGTTTCACGCATGCACACATACACATATATTTGCGACGTGCACACAAGGTTTAGGAGGTGCATTTTATTTTCAGTATTAGAATCCGAGTTATGTATTTTTCCTGATCTTTTTGGTACTGATGAATCCCCTTTCCCCGTCAACGTTTGCAGGGGGGAGAACTTTGCTCTCTTCGTTATGACCTGACAGTTCCGTTTGCTAGATACGTAGCAATGAATGGTCTGACATCCTTCAAGCGTTATCAGATAGC